TATTTTAGATTTATTTGACATTATTTCCAGAGTGTTTGAAGCATTTAACTAGTTTCAATACAGAGAGACTCTGGTGTCTAACAGGAAGGTTTCCAGATCTCCTGTTTCCCAAACAGTAATAAAATAATATATTACATAATAGGAAAAATAGTGGCTTCAGGGTAAAAATCTTATCCATTAATCAGTGAAGGATGTGCAAATATGTCCTCTGACTTTTCTAACTAAGAACTGTGCACAGATTGTAAGCGTCTTAAGATATTAAAAGCAAGTTAGAAACAAAACTATGAACACAAAAGTCAGACCCTTCCTGTAGGTTAGACCAGGGGTCTGCAACCAGTGGCTCTGGAGCCACATGTAGGCATTCTATAATGGCTCTTCATCACCTTGGCAAAAATGATTAGAGCAAACTAATCTTTTAGGTATTTATTCATTTTCATTTCATAAAAGCTTTTTCCTTCTTTTTAAACCTACAATCTGAAACGAAACTGTGGTTGTCAGGACTCTTGTCTTTGTGTTTGTGTTTCTGTGTTTGTCTCCCTTCATCCACCAGGAGGCGCCTGGTTCTGGTCCGCCTCCTTACACACCTGCTGATGGTTTCCTCATTAAGAGTGTTCTTCAGCTGCTGACTGCCACTACCTTCACGCCAGATTGTTTGCCAGTTTTGGGTACTCTAGCCAAGCTGAGTTTTGCGGAGTCAAACTGAGTTTTTTTCAACCTGAGTTTAATTTTGTTTTTTGTCTTTGCCTCTCGGCAGGATGTCATCCTGCAAATTGGTTTTCTCGGACCTTCTCTTCCTGGAAGGATCAACTGAGCTTCAAACTGAGCTGGGGTTCAAACAGGAGGTTTGGATCCACTTTCCCCAAGAGATCGTTTGAGCTTCTCACTGAGAAAGGGATTATTCTCCCGTTTAAGTACCGCAGGAAAGCTGAGTTGCAGTCAGTTTCTCCGTTCACCAACTAACAACCGCATTCTGGGTAAACCTGTTCCGCCCTCCACCGAATCAGACAAACACAGGAACCACACAGTAAGGAGTCAAGGATTCAACAACTTCTCTGGAAACGTGAGTCGGCAACGAAATCCTCTTCTCCAAGTTCACAAGTCAAATTCCCCACTGAACCTGAACTAACCGCTGTATCTTCCCCTCACTTTACAGTTCCGGTTGAGAAGTGTTCAGAGCAACACTTCTCCCTCTGTTTAACTTCTTCAATAAAACCCATTAAACATTTTCCCTGGTCTCTCTGTTCAGTTTTCTGCATTTGGGTCTGAACTTTGTAACATCATGACAGTGGTTGTTTAAAGACATGATTAATTGATTGATTTATTAATTGATTGATTGATTGATTGATTGATTGATTGATTGATGTCATAGTGGCGAAATTTACTTGTTATATCAGCTCAAATAATAGATATAAGGTGCATGGATATATACAGTATATACATTGTGTCCACATATGACAGCTTTTTCTTTTTTATAGTAGGATTATTATACAGGGTTATTGCACAGATGAGAAAATATCCAGTAGAATTTATTAAACATATGTTTGTTTCTGTTGTTCTTTTGTTTTTTGCTTGGTGTGACGGATTGCCTTCGATTAAATTAGTCGAGTCAATCAGCTGGTTTTCCTTAGATAGAAAACTGAACCAGTCTGACTGTATTATCTTGTTGAATTGTCTCTGTAAAGTGCCTTGAGATGATGTGTGTTGTGAATTGGTGCTTTATAAATAAACCGAATTGAACTGAATGTAACTTTTTTAAAGGTTTTGTAATGTTCGCAGCTCTAGGTGACTTTTATGAGCTGTACTGAAGTCAAAAACGTTGCTTTAATTGTAAAGGTTGCACACCGCTGGGTTATGTATTCTCTTACTCTGGTGAAATAGCCTCAGAGTAGCCGACTGCGCTCTTCATTTCACAACTTAATGTTCAGAAATGTACAATTGTCTGCAGTTAAACTAAAAATGTGCCCTCATTAAAATTTACTTTTACTCTGTATAGAAATAGATATCCTAGATATCTCCAGCAGGGAGCAAATAATAATTCTAGATCCATACTTCCATCTAACTATGCAGTCATCATAACTTCCTAGTCATATTGTTTGTTAAAGATGTGTTTTTCTTTTACTTTATCATTTAAAAAGGCTTTTACTTACATTCAAAAAAACGCAATGTAATATTATTAAGAAACTCAGTTATCGATACGTCATTTATAGAAATGTATTTATGGAACAGCGATTAAGAGCTTTCATGTAACTTAATTGTTTAAGATCCTTAAAGGGGTCATAGAATGATTGGTGCTGGTCCTTAAGGTCTCTAAATAGTGTGAGTAACATTGGTTGGGCTGAAAATGGCATATTTGCTGTTCTATGAGCCCTAATGCAAGCCTGGTTAAAAGCCCTAGAATGAAACGAAATGGTTTTCTCCTTTTATGGTATGATCATGAATATTTAGATGAGCTGTGAGCTGATTGGTTGGTTTACAACGAGCGAAACTGCTGAGCAAAGACGCATCATAGCAACAAGTACTCACTCACTGAAACATCAAATTGTTGATACGGTAGGGGGACCAGACGTCCTCTTTTTCCCGGACATGTCCTACTTTTCATACCTAAAAAAATCTCCAGGGGGAATTTCAAAATCGTCTGGGATTTTGGTCGACTACAGTGCAGCACGTAGTCGAATCAGTTAGCCAGCGGGGGACGGAGTGACCGAACCCGACCCGGTGATGGTAGCCTGGACAATGGCGGCCCCATGCTTCCCTGGACAACGGCGGCCCCATGCTTCCCTGGACAACGGCGGCCCCATGCTTCCCAACAGCCCAACAGCGTTTGGATTCACCCGTTTTGTGGTGGAAGTTTAGAATTGTGAGATTTGCAGAGAAAGGAGGCGTCAATGGATTTTAACTTCTCCGTACGTCCATTTCACCCACTGAACTATAGTCATTCATCTATGACAATGTAAACTCGGTTTTGCATTCTATGACCAATTTAAACATGCTTTCAATTATTACAGATTATCTTTGAAGGCAGTTACGCAATGGATGTTATTTAGCATATTAGAATAATTGTTTTTAAATATTTATGCACCATTTATTAGCTTCTAATTGCAAACATTTTGGAAAGTCATCCATGGCTTTAAAAGCATCCAATGCATTAATATATTTGTGGTTTTATTGTGACAAAAACAGAACAAGTTAAAGTAATTTGAGTACTTTTAAAAAGCCCTTTAGGTGAAATCATAGAGACTAAAGATCTTAAATGATTTTTATCAAGGATGATAACTAATAATCATTAGCATGACACAAGAAAATCTTTGATTTATGGTGACTGTAATAACTTCTAATCTGATAAAAATGTCTATTTGACACTGACTGGTTGGTATATAAGGGATGTAATGTTAACCCATTTCCTGTAACACCAGAGGTTAGGGAACAGTGCCCTGTTGTGATTCTTGGGTGTTCTTTATTTTTCTCTAAGGCAGTATTATAAACACCCCTATTACAGTTGGGACTGCTCCGACCTCAGATCTGTGATATTTAACATGTTGGATTATCTTGGCTTGATATCCTAAGGGTCGATATCCTAGTCTTGTGTTCCCTGAGGATAAATATAAATGTGACGTGTAGCCAATCAGAAACTCAGGTGATGGCATATCTTGAGGAAAAACCCAACTCCATAGCAAAGTGTTGAAAGTACTGATCCTTTTTCTGTTTATCTTTTTGTTTTTGTAATTTTTTTTCTCAGTTAAAATTAGAACACAAAATATCTCCACTGCTTCTTCCTCAAGGGTCCTTTTTATTTACTCTAAAATCAATGTTTGATCCCGAGAGGTTTTGTGAGATTTCCCGTCTAACATCTGAATTAAAGTAAAATCTCTGTGTGCTGTGTCTTGCAGACAATGTAACTGTGCGCCAAACACTGTAGGACTAAACCTGTAATATCTGCAATTTTTCTTAATTGACAATTTCTCTGTGAACCAGGCATCAGTTTAATCATGTATTATGTTTTTTTTAATTCTATTTGGATTCATTTCTCTAACATCAGTGAAATGAAAGGCTGTATTTTCTTTACGTCTAGTTCAGCTTCCTTTTCATAAATGATTAGCATCCCCATATTCAGCCTTTTTACATCAGTATATGTGCTCACTGGTTTTCATCGTTCCTAGCTGGTTTCTTCCATTACGATATCCGTTACACTGTCTATGTGCCATGTCCTGTTCGCCCTGTTCAAGACTTGTCGGTTTCATGTCTTATTTTAACCTTCATGCCACTCATTTTGACTTTTTGTCCTCATTTTGGTCCAAGTTCAAACTTATAAAATTTTCCATGCAGCTACTAACAACATGCAGCAAAAAAAAGGACTGCGATCAAAGGAAAACAGTTACATTTTTTGAGCAGATATGCTGAATTTTACGAAGAATATTACTTATTCTTTTACATTGTTTTACTTAATAATACATTTATTTTTTTATGGATATAATGTATTCTTAAATTAGGTTTGTTTCTGTCATGTTGCTTGGCTGAATGCTGTCTTAGATTATTAGTATTTCCATTTCTCAGTGGGAAGGTTCCTACCTTGGCTTTTATTTTGGTATTTCATTCATTATTTTTGTTCCTCTTAAAGGGCAATTGAACCCTTGCAAAGCTAATCTGAGATCTGATTTTTTCTGGTTTCAATGTGTACATGTGGATGGTTTCTTAATCTGTGGACTGCAGAGCCACAGATTATCCTGTTTCCTGTCCAGTGACTCATTGAACTCGGTCAAAGTAAATCTAAAAAAAAACACACTTTCATTCAAATATAAAATGTATCATTTCAGTAACCACTGTATTTCAGCGCAATACTTCTCCGGACAAATTTGTCAATCATGCAATATTTAGACTTGGAATCACTGTGAAATCTCTTGACCCAGAACTTCCTGTTCATTGTTTCTTCATAAGCGTCACATGATATGGATAACGGACAAAGACGAACAACTGAAAGGTAAATATTCAGCCGGCAGACTCACGCTTGTGGTTGCTCTTGCGTTGAAAGGGAAGTGTGTGTCTCTCTGAATCCTCTTCTCCCTCCTCATCTGCCAGATGTGTGTGAGTGTAATGGTAGCTCAGCCCTGGACGGTTCTTATATCTCTTGCCACAGACTGCAACACACACATTTGTTTTATGGTGAGAATGTTATCAAAACTTTTGCAAATAGAAAAAAAATTTCTACAATTTAATTTTTTATGAAACAGCATAAACTTCTTGCTTTGTTAAATTAATTCAGACTGTTTAGCCAAAGTTACTTGTTTTTTTTCTTTTCTTTTTTTTAATTTTCATTGCATATTTATCAGTGGATTCACATATAGATGAAAACACAAATAAATGAAAATGAAGATACAATGTTTTTGTCCAAAGGCAACAACATGGAGAATGGCATTATACAATTTACAGTAACTAGGGGCCTTGTTACTGTAAGGGGGCTTTTACATCTCACACCATAAGATCTTACAAAAAGAAAATTATAATCATCATAATTCTTACCAAAGAGATTTTTTTCCCCACATACCCATAAAGCAGGAAGCTATTTTACCAGTTTAAAACGAGGTGCTTATAGCAGGACAACCTGATGTATCTGTGTTTGACTCTCATTCTGAAGTGCTAAGGAGGTATTTATGTGTCGACAGAGTCAGCTGATAAAGCTTGCTCACCATCTGGCCAACATCACTCAGTTAAAGTGGCCTCCACCATTTTAACCCTTTAAAGCCCGATCCAAGAATAAAACAAAA